ACTTTTCTTGGCAAGGCGGAATTTGGCGGCAATCAGACCCTGTGTCACGCCTGACGCCTGTGTAACCACAGCATACACAGCAGCACACACACCGTGAATACTTGCATCACCAAATGCATGAAGTTTAATATTGTCGATCGGTTCCTGGTACTGAACAAGACTGCGAGGAAAGTACACATCTTCCGGTGCATTCTTCTCCCATTTTAGCCACCTTTTCGCAATCCCCTCGGGAAGTGGGGTATCCCAGCTCAACTTCATCTCACTGGTTTCTCGATAGATTTGTTTCCCCTATAACATTTCAGGTGACACAAGTCCTAACGGGTCATAAATCTTCGCTGAGTTGGCGAGGATGCCCCGCTTGGTCAATGTAGAAGGCGGAGATGGAAGTGAAACATGTAAAGTATCATCCCCTATGTCCCATTTGAGTCCCAGTAGTTTGCACTCTTCACGAGCTGACAATGCACCAAGCTGTTGTTTAGCAAACGAAGGCTCGTCATCGGTGCAGTCGCCTTCTTGTTCTGGCACGTTTGAGTGCCATTTGTGCAAGGTGAACCTTGCGCAATGAAAGATCTCTACTGCATGATGTTTGAGCTGTTGCGCACCTTCCATAGTAGTATCTCCGGTAATCAAATCATCTACATACAGACTGTTCTTAATTTCTTGTACAGTCCCTAGGTACTCGGACTGCACACTTTCCAGGTGTTGTTGTATCACGGCATTGAGTAGGAAAGGGGAAGGACACCACTCTCGTAAACCTAAGCACTTCTAGTTCTTCGGTCGATTTGTCTTTAATCCAGTGGAACCTCAATGCGTCATGTTCAGCTTCCTTAACACGTATCTGTAGGAAGGCCTTGCGCATATCTCCGGCAGCTGCAATAGGATGGAATCTGTTGCGGACAATAACATTCCATAGCTCATTCTGTAGTCGGGGGCCAGTGTGTAAACACTCATTCAAAGAAGGCGCACCGTCATACGCACGGGCCGAGGCGTCATATGCCACTCGTAGCTTAGTTGATTCGGCATTCTCGCGTATTACTGCTCGGTGTGGCATGTAGAATTCTTTGCCTATTACCTTCGCTGGTGCCTTCTCAACCACACCTTCCTCTAACTGTTCCCGAATAATGTCGTCGTACTGGTCTGGCATATCAGTTCTCTTTAATTTCCGTAAAAGAGAGTTCACTCTGCGCACACTGCCCGCACAATTATTTGGCAACTCAGGAAAGTTCCCTTTCCAGGGTAGTCCAGTTTCGTATCGGCCGTCTGGACTTCTAGCCAGTTGCTCCTTAAATTCTTCGTGGACGTCGCTCTGGTGGGTAGATAGTTTGTCCTCTTGTCCTAAGACATCTAGGGCGCAGAGTCGGTTGTGATCCAGTGTAGAATTCACGGCAAGGTACGCGTTGCCTAGATCTGTTCCGGGGGACATTATAGTCCACCCGAAACGTGTACGCTCTGCTACTGGATCTCCTCTACGTCCGACCCGTAAACGATCACTTGTCCGTATCTTGGCAAAGTCATTAGCGCCGATAATCACGTGCACAGGTAAGCGAGCCAAACATAGTGATACGTCC